ACTCTTCTCGATGAGAACGGTGACGTCCACTATCACGTGGAACGTCTAGTGAGACGACTTCGTCACCAGGGTCAAACCCAATCTGGTGAAGTGGCAGAGATTTCCGACTCTGAATACTTGTGGGAGTTTGAGGCGCCATTCCGGCAGGATTGATCAGACGCCGTGGACGTTTTGATAAGTAAGATCAGGACGCCCCGCGCTTTCCGGGAAGAGCCCAGGAAGTAGAAGGGCCATGAGCTGAGCTCAAGGAGTGACCCTGAGCTCTTGCGATCGCAGACACAGCGCTCGCTGGAGCGTTAGGGGTTAACACATACGTCGCAGAGCGACAATCCGGAGGAAGTCGACGGCGTGCCTTGAGTTTGGCAAACTCAAAGCGGAGGTATCGCTCCACACGCACTTCCACGTTCTCGTGGCTCAACAGCAGGTTATGCAGTGAGGAAGGGTTTTGGTGCCGTTGCACCCATCGCTCAAAGAGCGTTTCGTCATCTGTAGCGCTTTCCTCAGGGGCGAGCACTACAGGTATTGTCTGCATTGCGGGTACACGAGACCCACCTCGTTGAGCACTCACACGAGTTCGATAAGCTTCCAACGGGAATTCTTGTGAAACCAGGAAACAAGCTCGAAGAGCTTTCCATTTGGCAAGCTCATCTTCCGTTCTGGCCGGGGGCCCGATGATGTGGACACGTAACGATCGAGTTACCGCGTCCTTCGGTTACTGCGTCCTTCGCTTCCACAGCGGGATCCGCAGGGCGAAAGCCATATTTCACAAAAGGGTCAATGACCGGCCGTGGATGGCGCGCATTAGAGCCGCCTTACGAGCAGCTTCCAGCTGCCGCCTCTGTGCCCGTCGAGATCATTGGTGATTACACCACGTTCCTCAGGGGATGAGAAGTCAGGAAGCTAACATGGGGTCCGCAAGGCGCGAGCAGCGCTCATATCACGCCGCTGGCGCAGCTCGCCTTCCTCGTCATCCCATGCCGGAAAAGGAGTGTCAGACTCGAAGTCGACCGCCTCCACATCCTCAACGAGGTCACTCGTCACTGATAGCGTGCGCGGAGCGCAACGTTCGGGATCATCGAGCCTAGGATGTGCATCTCTCGGTGCAGCGGACGCACTGTCC